CGAGGACAAGACGAGAAGCGACAGCAAGGGCAAGACGAGAAGCGACGGCGAGGACGAGACGAGAAGCGACGGCGAGGACAAGACGAGAAGCGACGGCGAGGACAAGACGAGAAGCGACGGCGAGGACGAGACGAGAAGCGACAGCGAGGACAAGACGAGAAGCGACGGCGAGGACAAGACGAGAATCGACAGCAAGGGCAAGACGAGAAGCGACGGCGAGGACAAGACGAGAAGCGACGGCGAGGACAAGACGAGAAGCGACGGCGAGGACAAGACGAGAAGCGACGGCGAGGACAAGACGAGAAGCGACGGCGAGGACAAGACGAGAAGCGACGGCGAGGACAAGATAAGAAGCTGCTGCGGGGGGTCTCGACCAACCTTGCACTCTCTCAGCATGTCACGGCCGCCGCACCAGTGCCCCCTTGCCACGGTCTGCGAGATTGACGCTCAGTACATACTCCAGATCCTTCCGTACCTGCAGTCAACAGGAAGCTTACTATGCCCCCAGCAGGAAGAGGAGAGAAGGGTTGACGGTGGACAGGGAGAAGGGTACTACGGTAAATTTTCCAGCCCCCCAACATGTCGGTAGCACTTTCCACGACGAAGCCTAGTATAAGGTTGAGAGACCGGCGATTACGAGCAGCGGAAGAGGAGCGCACCGAGCCTTGACATCATCCAATCCCGTGTTGAGCGCCTGGGGTGGACGAGGAGGATGAGTCGATGCGGGTGAGGAGGAGAGGATGCTGATCTCGTCACACGCATCGATGCCTTTTTGCCAGTCCTCTGACCTCACGTAGCACAGAGCTCGATTCATGTAACACACGCAATGCAGACCGGCGTCACATGGCAAGGAAGGAAGAGTAGGGCTGCAGGCCGATAAGATATGGATACACTCCCGCTGAAACTTCTCCCTGTATCTTCTCGTCAGCTCCTCCTCAACTGCCTTTACGCTGCTTTCTTGCACCAATGACACAATATAACCCTGATACTTTCTTCTTTCGGGGACACAGGGCCCCTGGAGGGGCCCAAATCCCCCAAAGGCCCATTGCAGCGTCAAGCTCTGGCTGTTCAGCTTGTTTGTAAGCGGGTCGTGAGTCCTTGAGGCTTCTTTCGTCCAACAAGTGTCTTAGGACTCGGAGAGGTCCCGTCCTCCGAATTTTGATCGCCGACAGATCCTTCCAGCTTGATTCTTTAGACCGCGAAGATTTTGAGTCGGAACAGCCTGAGGTCTCGTAGGCAGCAAACAACTCCTTGACTGCTGCGTACGTCTTATTTCGAAGGTTGGGGACCGAGCAGTACTTGATCTAATTGAAGAGAATTAGTAGGATGATCGACTACCGAGCAGCATCACATTTAGCTTGCGAGAGAAAGTGTTGGTCTTGCGGTTCTTGACAGAGAGGCTGACATTGAGTCCATAGGAAACTAGAAGCTTGGACAAGAAATCTGTAAAGCCATTTCAGGCTGTTTTCAAAGTAAGGTAAACACCTTGGACGTTCAGCTGCTGGCATGCTGCAGAGGCTTCAGTCGCATCTTGTGAGCAGTAGTCCATGACATTTTGCAGGAGAAGGACCACCGATGATATATACTCCCGTGAGTCCCCATAGCGATAGTCAAACAATGTTTGCATTGGGAACAGTTCTGGCAAACATTGAACATTAGCTAATGAGTCGTATTCATTTAGCTTGAGCAATACTGTAACACCTGGATTGAAGTCTGAGAAAGTTTTCGATGGTAGATATGTCCACTAGGTCAGATGTCTGCTTTTTTTCCGCAAAACTAGCGTGTATTCCCCATCGGGAAGCTCGAATGAGACGGTCTCGTTGTAGATATCTTTCTCAAACACATTCATAGTGTAGCTGTAGATGTTGTATGTGAACTTACTCCTGCTGGGGTCTAGACTCGAGTCCGAGAGCGTGAGGTCCCATCCCAGCAAGGTTCCGCTATCAGCTATGACATCCCTGAGGCTTAAGGACACGGTGGTCAGGTTGGGATACTTGCCACAGTCTGGGATGCAGCCAAAGCGACCGAAGCCCGGAAACTCCGCTGGTCTATCGCAGACACCATCGCCGCAGACCCGATCCTTGAAGACTCGGTTCAGTACGCTCTGCTGCAGCCACGAGAAGAGAATATCGTTGCTGCGGATATACCCGAGCCGACCGAGGGAAGGTCAGCTACAAGAGAAACAAGGAGAGAGCTCTCAATGCCGTAAAGGATCTGCGAGTCTCGCTGCAAGAAGACAAGGAGAACAAAGGCAAGGAAGAAAAGTCAAGTGCCAGCCAGCTTTCGGTACCTTGTCGAGCGATCAATTCTTGCCTGTACCTTCTCCAGTAGAGCATGGACCTTGGATTCGGATTCTTTTCGGGCGTCATCTGTGGGTCCAAACAAGGATATCGACTTGAGGTCCTCTAAAACACTCTTTACCGACGCCATCCTGCTTTGAAAGGTCTGCGGATCCTCCAGCATGCCATCGAGAGCAAAGTCGATTTCATCTTGACGATCCTCATCCCTCCTTCGCCTGTTAAGAGTAGCGGCCACAACAGCAGTAGCCATGATGCTGAAGAAATCTGAGTCGAGTGACGACGATGTTGGATTCGTTAGATTTGACAATGCATGTTTCGGAGTAAGATTGATTGCAGGATCGATGTATCACGGGTGCTCGGAGATCCCAAACATAAGAGGTTGGACAGCAAGAGGAGAAGAAGAGGGAACAAGAAGAGGGAACAAGAAGAGGGAACAAGAAGAGGGAACCAGAAGAAGGGTATGTACTGCAGCAAGAAATGTTCTGTAGCAAGGAAGGGAGCAGCGGAGAAAGGAAAGAGTTTTGACTGACAGCTCCCCCGAACTTCGGAAAGAACTCGGAAAAAATGAAAAACAACAGTCACCCGGCAGCACCGAGCAACCCAGCCAGTAAAAATGTTTGGATAAAATAAAAACCATCCATCATCAGTTTTTGACCACTTGCGGTCATGCAGGCTTGGAGGAGGACGTATGCAGCTGTGAACCTTGATTCATCAGCCGTCATATCCCAATGCCCTCATTGCCTTTATGCCCTCATAGTCTTGATATCCCGCCCTTGATCCTCTAGATTTTCTGTTCTGTCAAGATGCCAAAGGAAGGTGTTCGTGGAGAAGAAGGTCTGACGACCATCAATCAATTCAAGACAACAAGAAATCAGGTCGAAGATTCTCTCAACATTGACCTTCAAGTGGCCAGAGATGCTATGCAAAGATATCACAGTAAGGCCCAGAAATTTGTAATATACACTACAGGATTTCGATGCATGCAACAATGGAAAACGCTCTTGGAAACAAAGAAAAAAATGATGAAGCTTTCGAATTCAATCTTTCGACGAAGCATCTTTCACTTGTTTTCTATATTGAGATCTCGCACGACGGTTTGTAAGAGAATCAGGGTGTTTTTGAAGTTATGTCATGAAATCTTGATAGATACAACAAATGACAAGGGCGAAAATGAGTTTCAAGACTTTGAATTTCCAGCTAGCAGCCACTTATCACGTAGACGGTTTGGATTCGTGACTGTATGCATCAAGAACATAATTTCATGTCTCAAAGAGTTCGACAACCTCTCGAATGAGTTGCTGACTCAGATTGCAAAAAATATGCAACTGAAAAGATTTCAAGTTGGAGAGGAAATGTTGACAGATAGCATTACATACTATCTGATGATTGATGGACTGGCAATTCACCATCACAACGACACTGAACTCGAGCATGTAACTCCTGGATCGTCGTGGAATACATCTTGTACGGAAGTGCTGCATGCAACTGAAGCAACAGCATCTACCGTGTACTCGGACTTCGCTGAAGACGTCGACAAAATCACTGCCAAAACAGAGTGCATATGTTTATGTATATTGGAATCAGTAATGAAATCTGCCGTGTTGAATGCTTTGTAACAAAATTCACGCAGAAGCTATACGAGATTTTGACGTATCTCGCTGGAATGCCTGAATGGATGGAAGCATTTCGAATGGTGTTCGTCAATACCATCAATGAAAGCTCACCATATGATAGGATCGAATGACTGAGGACAAGAATTTGGATGCACTGGTTACTTGTCTTATTCCACATCTCTCCGATGATTCCTTGGATTTCAGGTCAAAACACTGCCCTTGATCAACGAGATGTCAGATGACGTGAGGCGGAAGCTGGTCTCCAACTCTTCTGTAATGCATGCGATGTGTATTTGTGCACATCTTTCTGAGTTTTCTTTCTTGACAGATAAGAATGTATGACCCAAACTACACCATCTACAAGCAGGTGAGTCAGGAAAGCATGGCTATGAGCCACTAAACTTATATCACAAGGGGAGACTTTGGAAACTTAACTCAGATGCGCAGCCCGTTTCTCTGATCGACAAGTGGCGTGAACGAAAGTGTGATATATACGCGAAATGAATTCGACATGATGCAAGGGTTATGGCTGCAGGTTCATCTTTGAAGACGGGTCGATGCATTACATCACCGTCAAGAAGATCGGTAATATCATTCCTCTGTCTTTTTGTTATTTCAACATTTCTTCTCAGGAACTGGCGTAAGACTTGGGGATCTTGGTGTAATTGTGACTTTGTTTCATCGAGGCAGCGAGTTCAAGGCGATTCATAGACTTTCTGATCAGGTTCACTTTCTAATTTCGAATGCAGGTGTCAATTATTGATTCAGTAGCTTTTCCACAATCACTCAAGATTGATTACTTAGAAAGATCAGGAAAGAAGGTTCTTTCACGTACAATCTTTAATCTCATGTAACATGTATGGCTTGATAGAAAAAAGTCATTCTTTCAACGGAAAACCAGACTGAATTGATGGACTGGTATGAAATTCTGCAAGCTGCTTCAGTTGCATACAAGGTTGGAATTGATCAAATCCTTGCTCTTTTGAATGCTTGAATCCAGTATTCAGTCTGGAAACATCAAGAAGTCCCGGTAGTAGATGAGTTGGACGACCGACCTCCGGCCTTATACCAAGTGAACACAATCTTGCTTGCCCAAGCTCGTCACTGAGCTATTAGTCAAGGTGGTCGTGGTAGGCGTTGCCAACATGCAGATGATAGCAGATGAAGACGAAGGTGGCGGAGTCGTCAAACTCAGTATGGTATGCGGAGATCATTTCGGAGAAATCAATCGGTGCTCCAAGCATGCTGCTGTGCGTTTATGTGAAACTACTGCAGGTGGGGGGAATTCTCAGCGCAGAATAAAGTTTGCACCAGGGAAAAAGAAATTTTTTGCTTTTGCATCGATCGGTCAAGTGCTTTGAAAGCCGCCGTCCTTGTTCACGCTCAGGTGATGACTGAAACGGGGCCATTTGAGAGTTGTGTAATCTTCTTTCAAGAAAATGAAGGAGCGATACCACTTGGTGATTGCTAGTTTTCCATCTTTGCTACAAGGCAAAACACCCTCCGCAGTATGCATGAGTTTTTTTGAAATTGTGTTTTGATTTGGAAACCAAGGCTCGAGAGCTTGTTCATCGGACAGCATTACTCATGGAGGTAGAGCATCTCTCTTGATTTTAGTCTATAATCCAGGATCTGTCAAGGAGCGATTTTTATCGCCAGGAGAAATGTTGTTCTGTCAGGAAAACTTTGATTCTGCTGAGGGAAAGGCAGCAAGAGCATTGGGCGAACACAAACCAGGAGAGGGAATTTGGCTTGTACAAAAAGGTAATGGCAGAGCAAACAATAGTAGCAGTAGAGTTGGTTCTTTAATGCATTTGTTCAGTGTCATGCATCTCAGTTCACCAAAATTTGGTTTGAACATTGACTTGAATTTTCAGGGAAATGTCTGGTTAATCTAAATTGTAAGTTTGCTCGGTATGAGGATGAAAAGGAATACAGCAAATTCAAATCTCAGGTGAGTGTTCGCTTTTACGAAATCTAACCCCTACCAGTCGTGATAAAGCTATACATTACACACTTGATCATTAACTGGACAAACAGAGTCATCATTACAAGGAGTCCATGATTCAGAAATCGATGTGTCTGAGTGAACTGTTGCAAGGTAAGCCGGGCTCAAATCAGTATGGATAACTAAATTCCTCAACCATCCAGGCGATTTCATCGGGGACGTGCATTTTTTTGCAGGAGCAGAGCTGCAGGTCAAAGTTTTCTCTTTTGTAAGCCATACTCATAACAAAACACAGATGATTTCAATACGCGCCGCTAAGGAGCAGGTTTGACAGAGGACAGGCGTCTCAATACTTTGTGTAACTTAGCACTCTCAGGAGCAGGCCAAAACAGACGAGCAGAAACTTGCCATAGCAAGGTGAGGATATCCAGTTCGGTTGATCGTGGAATACAACTTCTCTCTTGTCATATTGACAAGCCATCCCGCTTCCAGCAAAGCACGTCCGCGACGAAGGGAAAGTTTGTTCACAACCGCCAAGATCGAGATTGTCGAAGGTCAACAAGAACACAATTGGAACCTTTTACTAAACCCTCCAAGCCAATGGGCATGGGAATGCTGGTAGACTCAAAGCTGCTGAGACATGGGACGGGAGCTGACGGGTTTCAGTGCTGATAAAGAAGGAGCAATGATTCTTTTCTTGCCTAATGAGAGCGTCAAGCAGCTCCCACAGGCTGTCCTCCTTGACCTACTCACACTTGCGTTCAGGTGAACCAGCTCCTTTGATGCGCTTGTTTGAAAGATTGCAGCCGTCAACAAGAGCGAAAGGCAATCTTTCAAGCTCGACTGAAAGCCCTTGTAGCACAAGGTCTCAGTCCTGGTCAGTCCAAGTCTGGATCAGGCAAGACCTGACGGTAATGCAGTTTCAATACCTACGTTACCTCCAGATATCCCTTCACCTGCTTGTGTGGTCCGTTGCACAAGGTAAGTTTTTATAGCCTACTGAGAAATTATCAGCTCAAGAATCACGAACAAATCCGGGAAAAGCGAAGGTAGAAGTATCTTGCATTCAATACTCGAGACCTTTCAATGAATCGTCTTTTTCCAGATCTGAAATCCTCCTCTCCTCTGCACAGGTTGATCGTGAATCATATTTCTATGACATTTCGTATGGCATTGCATACATTCGATGACGTGTCTTACATTCTATGACATTTCATACATTCTATGACATTTCATACATTCGATGACGTGTCGTACATTCTATGACATTTCATATTGAATGCATGATCAGAGGTACGGTATTCGCACCGAGCCGTTGATGGAAAAGAAGACGAAATTCATTTCAAGATCACTCGACACGATGCAAGACGGAGATTGGTGCTTGGAATCGGGAAGGAACCTGTCGTGATTGAGCTTGTGCAGGTACGCTGATAAGGAAGCCAGCAATCCCTTCAGTATTGCTGGCACCTTGTCGTCGGCGCAATCAACGGAAGAAGCGGCGGACGAAACGCTGGCTGCAGGGCGAGCTATGGCCTTGAAAGAATTTGAAAAAGGTATGGAGCAAGTCAGATCTACCCACTGGGCTACTAACTTCTTTGTGGTGGACAGCTGCTAGAAATAAAAGGTCATGGATTCGGCATACTGATGACGTGCATAAACGTGTTCAGATGAGGTCAGATTTTCTTGCCATGCGCCTGGACTGAAAGTGTTTCAGTCGCCTGCTTGTATCGCTCCCTTCTCCCAGTCCAGACTCATCCAAGGACTGTGACCAGAAAGCCGACGAGGCGACTGGGAAGAAAACATCTTTGAAGCGTTTGCCGATGACCCCGAGAAAATTGTCGATCACCCAAGACGTTAAACAGACTTCACGCACACAAAGTCAAGTTTCATTGAAACAAAGAGCAAGTCCTTTATCGGTGAAAGATTGAACTGCTTTCGTCAACAACTCATGCTGAGCTTGTAGGCATCCATGTCGGCAAGAAGAGCAGAGGGTATGGATGTGAATCTGATCACTCTGAAGGCCCGTGTTGTGTGCCGAGACTTTCGGCGAGCTTCATCAGAAGGTGTTGTAACATGAATTATCATTCATCTGATTTTAGTTTGACGTTCAGCCATACAACGGAGGAAGAATTCTCTGTTTCAAAGGGTTTCCTCCGACTTGTCAAACAATCCATCCAACGGGGATGACTCGGAGTCTCTTTTACCAACTTGCACTTCAGTGCTCAAGTCAAGACCGGTAGTTAGTTCTTCTTCATATCGCACATCGTGACTCTGTCTCTTGCAGCAATCTGTTGGCATTCCAGCCACACGCGCACGATCTCAAGGAGCCTTTTCTATCATGACTGCGACACCTCGATCCTTCAATAGATGAATGAAACAAGAGATAACCCACACATTACTATCCTCAAGATAAATAAATAATGGAATGCTCCAGCAATCTCGGAATGGCGCTAGAGGAGATGAGACTGATGCGATCTCTTGCAGTAGTTTGTTCGTCAGAGACTGATGAGGATCTCGTGCGATCTTGTCAGAGTTGCGGGCTATGAAAGAAAGCTGAGGCAGAGGGCATTCAAGTGAGAACCTCTGAGAGGCTCCCATGCGACTCTATGGGGTCAGCAAGCCTGGACCATAGGGATTTGCAACTTCAAGTCAGGCTACTCCCGTTGCTCACAGTGATGGGAAATTATCCTCGTCGCCCATGTATGTACGAGGAGACAGCACACATTCGAGCGACGTTGAAACTTAGATTCTGTGGGACCGATGTTGTATCCTTGACTCATACCTGACGCCCCTTGGATGTAGCCTAGGGAAATAGGATGATGATGCCGGATAGCTGCCAGAGAGTATGGTGCTGATCTGATGAGTGTGTGCGCTTGATCCTAAGATCATCTGAACTCAACGTCTTACGCAAGGTTGTGTATAGCGGAAGGTTGGTACATCATATACCTTTGAACATGTTTTCCTCGGTTGAAAACGCTGGACACATACCGGCGATATAACAAACGGCTAGGCACTTAACCCTCTAGCTAATCCTGATAACCCGATAACCCTCTAGCTAATCCTGATAACCCTCTAAATCCCGACTATTGAGTAAAAGATTGTCAACGGCCAGACCTTGCAACCGGGTTACATACCGTGGCATGGCCCACACCGTCGGCAGAAGGAGCGCTTGTGGTCGATACTCTCACTCTACGTAGTCGATACTCTCACTCTACTGCTTGTGGTCGATACTCTCACTCTACTGCTTGTGGTCGATACTCTCACTCTACTGCTTGTGGTCGATACTCTCACTCTACAGATTGTGGTCGATACTCTCACTCTACTGCTTGTGGTCGATACTCTCACTCTACTGCTTGTAGTCGATACTCTCACTCTACTGCTTGTGGTCGATACTCTCACTCTACTGCTTGTGGTCGATACTCTCACTCTACTGCTTGTAGTCGATACTCTCACTCTACTGCTTGTGGTCGATACTCTCACTCTACTGCTTGTAGTCTACTAGTAGAGTGATAGTATCGATATCGACCACAAGCAGTAGAGTGAGAGTATCGACCACAAGCAGTAGAGTGAGAGTATCGACCACAAGCAGTAGAGTGAGAGTATCGACCACAAGCAGTAGAGTGAGAGTATCGACCACAAGCAGTAGAGTGAGAGTATCGACAAAAACTGAAGCATTAATGCCAATGGGGGGATGAAAACCGGATGAGAGTGAATAAGTGGCAAGATACCTGAAGCAAGGATGATAAAAGAGGCAGGGCAAGGACGAGTGAATATCAAATTTCAATAGAATGGTTGAAGAACGTACTTACCTACCAGCAGAAGATTTCTGTTTTACAACTGATGTCGATCTCAGTCAAACCTGGAACTTTAGACCCTAGCTGTTCGAGATGTCCCGATACTTGAGTTCTACCAACTCGACAGACTCGGCGAACATGATGAGGTGAGGACAATGATCGGATCAGGACATGTTTGCAACAACATGGTTCTCATGAACCGCAGATATCTCAAGGAAAGGCAATGCAGTCAGCTTCTACGTCATGCAATGAGCTCATATTTTCAAGCAATTGCGAAGGTAATTGAAATAGAATGTCCTCTCAGTGAAACTGAAGCCAACAGGCTCGGCAAGAAAACGATTTCGATCGGCTAGCTTACCTAGAGGTCTGTTGACTGTCATGACTCCTTGACGCAACATTACTGACACAAGACCAGGACCCCAAGAGCTTTTTCCTGGATCATTTCTCGTACATTCACTCTGAGGTGCATCTATCTCTCACTTGAAAGCTGTAACGTGGGATACAAGTCCGATCAGCAACAGCAGGAGGAGCCAGACCATCGTTTGAAGACTGTTGACGGCCCGTCAAACAGCAACATCAGGTGGAGCCTGCGACCTACTAGTGCTGGCGGTTGGCAGGCAAGACAACCAACGCAAGGTCAGAACCTCCTCAGCCTCGTAGACTGTGACAAGGATGTCAGATGTCAAGGCCAAGACAGCTCCTCCGGCAGTCAACGAAAACGAAGGCGAGTTAGTCAAGGTGAGATCATGCTTGAAGAGTCAAAGTTCAATGCCGCAGCAGATAGCAATCGAACAGTTGCAACAACAATTTGACGACGAGACGACAAAAGTGAAAGAGTTGGAAGCTCGGTTGGCAGAACTTCATGAGATGAAGAGGATGAAAGAATCAGAAGTTTAGATTGAGAGTTGAAGATGCAACCATGACAGTTGTATTATATCACAGTGAAACGTAACCGATGAGTGTAGTTTCATTACCCTGGTAATGAGTGAGAGTTGATTGTGCATTGACTGAATCGTGAAATGGTTGTGAGAAGCTTGATGAGACGCTGTGATAATTCAATTATTTCTCGACGGAGAAAGGAGCTCCTGCTTCAACTTTCAGCACGAAAAAGCCCAGACAAAGGGAATTGAGTCACCGCAAGCAGATCGAAGTCTTCGTCATTGTCGTCCTCGTCCTCGTCCTGATTCGGTTATGGAGTTGTCAAGTTCACGCAAGAAACTAGTGTTGATACCGCTGGAATGTCTTCGAGCCCTGGCACAGGAAACCTGAGGAGCAAGTCAGCACAGCACATACGAGCAGAGCAGATCGTTGTGAGGCACTTCACCTCAGAATCGCAGCCAGGCCCGACAGCATCTGGAGTCTCTCCCCGGACACTGATCTCGCGTGAGCGCAGCACAGGCAACATGATACATGCTTCCTCACCATGCATCGTCGAGAAGATCAGAGCTAGACCTCCACTGTCCTTGACAGTCTCTACCAGGTCCACGTACTTCTTTCGTGCTGGAAAGGTCATCGTCAGTCGAGAAGAGCTTGTCTTGCGAGACCTCCAGGGTCTTGAGAGCGGAACAGGTTGTCCGATATCAGGAGCGTGTTGATCGCACCGATCTGAGCCTGAAGCGACTTTAGGCACGAAGATGCAAAGAGCTTCGCCTACCGCATGCATCACGTGCGCCTCTCCGTAGGCCGTGCGATCTGACTTTGAGTGAGCAAGGTAGGAGAGGAGACTGAACCACCGGCATCGTTATTCAGCATCTTGAAGAAGTCGTTGAGAGCTCTTGATTCTGCCGCCGCCTGCATGCTCGTTAGCTTCTGCTTGGCAGACAAACTTGTCTTACTTTGGTGTCATGCAAACGAGAAGCTATCGCAGGATCCGACAAGATCTCCTGCAGACGTGGATGAAACCTGCGTCCGCCGACTCAAGGGGCGAGGAAGGGGTTACCTTGATAGCATGCTTGTGTCCACTGCTGCAGTGACAGAGGAGAAACTTGGACCTGTGCTGTATTACAGTTGAAATCAATAGCGGAGAGAGAAATCACTTATGATCAAGGAGGCAGCGCAGATCTTGTTTGTGCGACATGACATCAATGTGGCGCATCAGGTACTCGTTCACGAACCCTGCCACCAGCATCAGAGGGCAGAGGGCCCGCCTCGAGGGTCTACCCGGGCTGGCGATGATGAGGCACTTGACGATGGAGAAGTCAACGTGCTGCATGATGGCGCGCATGACCTGATCGTAGAACTTGTTCAACGCCTTCTCCCTCCCCATTGACGCTGCGCCCTGCTTGCGGGGGATGGAGACCTCCACCTTCTGGCGCGTGAGAGTCATGCTGCTGGTGATGAGACACACGAAGGCCAGCCCTTCTTGCATCACCACCACCGCCAGGTCAGCTTTCCTAGTCACATCGCAAGCCTGCTCGACCAGATCCGATGCGATCGAGTCCCATTCCGACTTTGCGAGAGAGAAAGCACGCTGCGTCTCGAGCTCGAGCGTGTGATATTGACCCATCTTCACGAAGTCGTTCTCGACTATGTTCTTCCCCTTGAGCCGCAGCGCTGGGGTCTGAGCGTCGAAGTCTATCGACTCCACTTTGATAGTCAGCGTGATCCTCATCTTCTCGGTCGAGACTGACCCCGTCGAAGACTCGGAGGCAACTTTGCGAAATGTATCAGTTCGCACTGAGTCTCCCACAGAGATCAAGTTGTAGACTGTCCACAAGTCTTCTGCGTCATCTGGGATGAGTTTTATCCTCCCCCCGTCTTTGCTAATCGCTTTATGCAACAACCGCATGGCGACGAGAAGTTGTGGTAAAACGAACAGCAGGATCAATCTCAAGTTGGAAATCTTTCCTGCTGCTCAAGAGAATTCTCTTCTTCACCTCTCTTCTTCACCTCATGCCAACCTGACCTGTCATCAGGTGTCAAGCACGTTCCGAAACATTTTCACGCAGTCAGCATTTTGATTCTGTTTGGACTACTTGTATCACCACAGTTTGCTTCCCTGGCTCACATCTCAAGTCTTCACTTCCTCCATCGTCACCTTCTCTGCTCCTCCCCCTCTCCATCTTTCAAGTCAGCCCCGTCGCTGCATGCGCCTCTAAATTGCTGCCCCGCGGTCGAGCACTTTCTCCCTAGTCCAAAGTTGCTGCCTCCCTTTGCGTCTCAGCGCACCACCCTACCCATCCTTTCTCTCCACAGGCGGTTTTCAGGGTACTGAATAGGTTCAAATGTACCCACCCCATTACCTCAATTATTTTGTTTTAGACGGGGTAGGGTAGACACATACCCCTTGGAAACCAAGGAAAGGGCAGAGGAAAGGGCTCAAAAAGGGGTGGAGGGGTGGAGGCGGGTAACGGTGGTTTGAATCATGCGTGTGGTGGTAGCGAATGGCGACGAGGTGGGGGAGATCGAAGATCGGATGCAGGCAGCGGCAGAGGACGTCCTCTCCTCCCTTCCTTCCAAGTCCTCCCTCGACAAGAAGATGATCCGCGGAAAGATCGCACAAATCTCTCAGTGCTTCATGCAGAAGGTTGTACAGCGCATCTGAACCAGCTCTCTTCGTTTCCCTCCTGATCGCTCGCATCTCTTTATCATTTGATGATCAAACCTTCATGTTTGATACTATGCTTTGAATAATAATGTTATTCTGTTTCTGTCATGATGACATTTTGTGCTGCATTCCTACAGGTCAAACGCAACACTCGATTGCAAGATGAAGAATGGAGCGACCAGGAGGAACGGGAAAAGAAGATGGCTAAGAAAGGTTGACAAACTCCTTTCACACGAATGAGAGTGTTTGTAACGTTCTGAGCAGAGGTCCTTGAGCCAGAAGATTTGGTGTTGAAGGCGAGGGTTGAGATGCTGAGGAACAAAATCAAAGAATCTGCGGAAAGAGTCAAGAAGTATCGCACAAGCATTCCGGGCAAGATTTGTGAAGCCACCAAGGAACAGATTCAGAAATCATCAAAGCTGCTTGAAGAGGCGATAGAGGAGGAGGAACAGAGCAGCAAGGAAAGCGAAGTCGAGCAAGGAAACACATCTGCCTTGAGCAAGAACAAGGACATCTTTCTGGCTGAAACCACCAACATTGCACTCAAGGTGGAGGCCTTGAGAAAGAAGATCCCCGATCAGATCAGGGAAGGTCGTTCCACCGTCCGGGTGTGTCAGGAATGGGCTAGGAAGCCGATCAGCGAGGCTGAAGCTGTGCTGGCCGAAGAACTCAAGGTTTGCTCCCTGACGCTACCTGCTTGTCGTAATGTCTGTGCAGGAAACACAGATGAACGCGGAGACGAGAAGCAGGCAAGCCAGTGCCATCGCTCAGCTCACAGCGTCTACTCTCACCGTCAGCAGCCTCCCTCGCTGATCTCTATCGAAAACATTGCTTGTAAAATTATCATAATCGCTTTAAATGCCTTCTTGCTTGAAAATTAAAATCGCATAATCGACGAATACATTCATGTCTCATCCTCATCCTCCCCCTCCTCCCCCTCGCCCTCTTCCTCATCTTCCGAGGCATCAAGTCCGAGCAACTTAGCAGCCTCTTCTTTGGTCTTTGAAAAATCATGTCAGCTGACGACGAGACTGGAACACTTACAGTTTCTCTGGGATCCTTATCAGGTTGGACCAGAATTGCCTTTCCTTCTTTTGCTACCCCAGCCATCCAAATGAACTGTGAGAGGATAAGAGGCAACCACAGCTGAGGCCATGCCTTGATGGTTATCTCACATCTCCGTTCTTGCACAGGTGTATTTCCATCCCGGTCCCGTCTTCTTGCTCAACGATGGAGGAGTCTTTGGGTTTCGAAGTCTTTACAAACTTGAGGTCCTCTTGTCAGCTTTGCGAGATCGGGTGAATATCTTACCTTCATCTCATTCGAAATCACAGCCCCGTCTTCTCCGAAAGAATAAACCGTCCAGTTTCCCATCTCTACTTTTTCAGGCAGTTTCTTTCCCCCTCCCTACAACAAGCTTAGAAATGTTTTCAAAATCATTTTAGAATATCACCTTTGCCAGCAACTTCTCTAAGTTTGGCAACGTGAACATGAAAGGAACCTGCACAAACTATCGGCAACTGTTGACAACTGGTTCAAGCTCCACCAAATCGCCTGCGGGAGTGCAGGACAGCACTGGCCGACTTGGTCGATTTCTGAATTGAATCTGACAAGTGGAAAATTGACTGCGGAGGAGTCAGAAACATCGAATACAGTCAGATGTATCAGAAGCTGCAAACTCACACAAGCTCGATGACAACTCCGCTATGTTCATGGCGCAGATACATGTGCTCGTTCTTGTACTTGTCGGTGCCTCTTGCGCATTTCCACAGGCCACTTGGCCCCTTGCTCAGCTCCATCGCTATTCCTGACGAGGACGCGGAGAAGGCCTTCTAAGCTGTAGATGAGTCTCTTCATCTTTCATGTGCTATTGCCGTACCTGTGTTTCTTTGTGCCTGTCCTTCACCGACGTCGCCGTGCATTGCTCGCAAGCGTCCCAGTCGCACACTCGGCACCCAAACATGCTTGTGCCCTTGGGGAACGACTGAGACTCGTGTGCGTCGCAGAAAAACTCGTCATGGGGCGTGAGGAAGAAAGTAAGAGGATGTCCGTTGGGACAAGCCTTCCATTGTTTCTGAAGGGCATTAGATCACAATCAGGACGTAGATCAGATCACAACCAGCACGTAGATCAGATCACAACCAGCACGTAGATCAGATCACAACCAGCACGTAGATGGTCACCTTCTTGCTGCTTTGATCTCCCTCCTTCTCCTTCTTCCCTCCGCCTCCTCCATCTTCGTCAGATTCAACACATGCACTTTGCCCGACTCACCTTTCACTTCCGCTTGTCGGAAATCCCACGGGGACGAGCTGAGAGGCATGGGAGGAAGAGGAGGCACGTCTGCGAGGCTGACGGTCAGCAGATAGGATGGAAGCACACAGGCTCACCCTCCTCCTCCTCTGCCGCCGCCTCCGACTTTCGTTTCGATTTCTTTTCCTGTATTTGCACGTGCTGAGCTTCATCAAAGCAGTGAGGGAGCGGCGTGCTTGCCTTTTTCAATGCTCGTTTCTGCTTCTTGGACAGGCTCTCCTGCATCGGATCATCAAACACCCTCCCCCTCCTCCTCCTCCTCCTCCTCCTCCTCCTCCTCCTCCCCGCCTTCTCCTCTTCCCCACCTCGCCTCGCGATGTTCTCTTCATTGCCCGATACAAATTGAGTAAAAGTTGGGGATGTAAAGCAACTGTGAACAACGAGTTGGATCGCAGCGAAGGTCGAGTGACGAAGATGGTGTAGATGATGATGTAGAAGAGGAGAAAGAGGGTGTAGATGATGATGTAGAAGAGGAGAGATGAGAGATGAGAGATGAGATAGGCAAAAAGCAGATTGATGATTTAGGATAAGATGAGATGGAAGGTAATGTAGGAGGTAATATAGGAGAGTGTAATATAGATAGGGATATTGCAGATCAGGTAGGAGCTGAATCAGAGAATGCAAGGGAAGACATCGTAAGTGATTAAACGATGAGAGAAGCAGATACAAGTGATTATCAAGGCAATGAGAAGATGACATAGCTGAAGATGAGAATAGCAAATTAGGAAAATGATGATGTAGAGGGCGATACATGAGGTTGAAGATAAGATGATGTAGAAGAAGGATGATGATGTAGAAGAAGGATGATGATGTAGAGGACGATACATATGAGATTAGAGATAAGATGATGTAGAAGATCAGTCATAGGATAGGAGTAGTGACAATCTATGTGAAAGAGAACGGAGGAAGGAGACGCCAGAAAAAATCGATTGCACTCATTTATAGTTGATCTTTCAGGGCATTCATTCCAGAACATGATTGGTAAATGGTGGAAGAAAAATGTCATCGATGTGGTAAACACTTCATTGACATTTACTCGTTGATGCTCATGAATGCTTCAAGGTCCATGGAGCTGCGTATTCAGGGAGGTTTGCGATCCACGACAAGAACACGCTGAGGTTGTCAACGTCTGTTGCCTCCTCAGTCTGACTTGTCTTGCGGACTGTTTGTCTTCTCTTGCTTCTCTTCCTCTGATTCAACCCGTGACGCTTCTCCTGGTCAGGCTGGTCAAGGGCATGTACTTCAGTGTGACGTTGCTAGCGGGGATATGGCTAATGTCACAAGTGAATGAAGGAGGGCAGTGGCACAAGGTTGTCGTTGGATCTCGTTACAGCTTCTGATGCATGTTTGCGACAAGAATGCGAAAGAAGCAGCTCTAGATATGAAGGAGAGGTATGAGAGGGAGCAGAGGTACGGACAGCCCTCTCTCGCCCTCACCAGCTGACCTCCAACGAGCAGAGCGAAGCAGGACCCGGCATGAATATCTACAACCATGAATGTTTCATTTAGAACGAGCATGACAGAGTCATGCAGTTGTATTGAGCCCTGCAGTTCCAAACGTGAGGTTATGGACATGTAATTTCTCATGTCGGATCAGATCTGTTATCTATCAAAAGGTATACAAGTGACTGGTTATGGAGAAGCCCATGTCTGGCTGCACCTATGATAGGGTGATAGGAGAAGCTGCATTTAATACCTGAGTGAACGACAACAATAAACTCCAAACATATTTATCAAATAAAAAGATGAGAGTCAGGCGACAAAGGAATTGTCATGATGGCAAGAAAACAATTTTCTTACAATATGATTCAGAAAGGAAGCACTGTTCTCCATTGTTTTCATCCCATCTCTTCAACTCTCAGATTGCTTCTATTCTGCTCTACTGAGTCATAACTGATTCCCCTCCTCCTCCTCCTCCTCCCTCCTTCCTTCTCTTCCCTGCCAGACTCTTTTTGCTAATTTAGTTAGGCCCGCCAATAATCCTAACGCCTCAGAGTAGCCCTATCCCCTTTGCTCTTTCCCTTCTCCTCTTCCGCCCTCCCTCCGCCTCTTCCTCCCTCCCTCCCTCCCTTCTCCTCTTCCGCCCTCCCTCCCTCCCTTCTCCTCTTCCTCCCTCCCTCCCTCCCTTCTCCTCTTCCTCCCTCCCTCCCTCCTTCCCTCCCCCTCGTGTTTCCTTCCTCCCTTTCCTGCTTTTTGCTTGTTCTTATCCTTGTAGCTCAGACATCTCTTCATCATTCAGCAAAGATACAGCGATTTGCAGCGCTCACTGCCTCTCTTTTAGTCCACGTACTTGCTAGCTCTCCTATTACTTGTTCCCTGATCTCCTATCGCTCTTCTCCTCTTCGCTTTTGCTGTTGAGAGGTTCAAGCTCTTGCTTCTCTTCATCCTTCACCCTCCCATGTCTTCTTCGCGTCCTGTCTCGGCCAAGCGGGTGGGACATCCGCTGCCCGAAGAGATAGTCGTCAGCAATCATCTCCAGCCTAGAAATGCCCGGGAAGCAGAGACAAGGGCTCGCTTTCGGTTTCAAGAGGTATAGACCATGTGCCTGCTTCGCTTCTGAGCTCTTCTCTTCCCGCTGACAGGCTGTGGGGGCTTCGCTTGCGGCTCTCGTGCTGATGGGGATCGGCATCGGTCTGTTTGCTGTCTGGGCTAACACCTACCTCGCGCCCTTGGGAACCTACTACGAGGCTGCTTGCCTTGTGCTGAACTCCACACAAGTTGTCATCACTGACGGCTACATGCGCGAGCCGCTGTACCGAGCTGAGGTCTTGCTCAGCAACAAGGTCTTGTGCTACTTGCTCAGACAGTGTCAGGTGTACGTCTACGTCTTCAACACAAGCGAGACCTCCTGCTGCTGTCCCAACGTCTTTGGAAAGCAGCGCTGTGGAGAGTGGGAAGCAATCGCGTACGACAACATCGACGAGAGGTCGCTGCCGCTTTGGTCTGAGCGTATGATGAAACATGTTGTGCTGCAGCTACACGTCTGGAAGCAAAGCGTCTTTCTTGCGAGATTACGGTCACCCCGACACCTATCACAAGTGCTGGCATTCCCCAGGCATCGATAGTCATAAAGTCAGGCAGACGAGAACTGAGTTGTGAGCTTGCAGACAAGAATAAGGTTGTGCTCATGAGGAGCTCAAGATCCATGTTCCTCATGCCAAGTTTGATCTCTTTTATCTTCGGGTGCTTGAATGATTTAAATCAGTGTGCATGGTAACTCCATGTCAGGTTGTACTTTGCGCAATCTTCGATTCGCAAATTCAGTGCTTACAGAACATCAGTGTACTACGTCGACAAGTTCAAAGGGAGGCTGAAGGATGAGAACGTGAACTTTCTGATCGGAATGTTACATCGCTGATGTGTGCATGCAGAAAATTGAAGAAAAGGTCCCGCTTCAGAAAAAAACGTTGACACAAGAATTTCAGGAGGAAGAGGAAGAGGAAGAGGAAGAGGAAGAGGAAGAGGAAGAGGTCGGGTAAGGCGTGATGTATAGGATAAAGAGATCTAAGTAACATCTTTACTTGACTTGTGCTCGAACAAAATCCTTCACCATTTCAGCTTCATAATGGATCCAGCTGTCGGCTATCGGCAAGCTCGAGCAGCGATCTTGTTCCTGTGCTGAAGATGTACGAAGGAAGTCCGTTCTTCCCTTCGATGATGGTCAAGGCGAACAATCTAGATACCTTCAAGAACAGCCAATGGATCTTTGGGAGCTATGAGAGGCAAACACGTGGAATGATTCTCTCGATCAAACCGTCGGAAGTGTTGGTAGTCTGGATCACAGATTTGCAAGGAGCTTCCACCCAGCTACCGCGCCTGAGCTGCCCTCCTGACAAGCTGCAAGTCCTCAATCACTTTGGAAACACGTGTTGGAGGCTGAGAGATCGCAGAATCTTACCCCCGGGATGAACAGGGACCCCACGAGTTCTATCCTGGAGATCTCCTGTGTGAGAAAGACAACTCGACTCCGGTGAATCGTGCCAACCTTTATGTGGTCATATCTGCCGACGAACGATCCCGGATGATGCTCGTTCGGAAGGTGATGGGATGCTTTTGACTTTTGAGCTGTCTGTTTGAGATGGCGTGTTGATCTCTTACGATTTGTTCCAACAGCCCTCACATGCGCGTTGTCAGGTGTTGGAGGAAGGGCAGGTTGCCGAGCAGCTCGATGCCAACAAGAACGACTATGAAGTGATGAGTGCGTTTGATCTTCAGGTTCTGAATCCTAATCCTAATCCCTACCCCTCCCTCTCCCTCTGCTTCCCCCTCTCCCTCTCCCTCTCCCTCTCCCCCCTTCAACCAACGGTTTTTAGCTGACCTGCATGCTAGGCACATCAAGGTTTCAGCTTCCGCATGGGAGACATTGTTGTCAGGCTGGAAACAGGCGCAAGCTCTGACGCAACCAAACCCTCAGTCAAACAGGACGAGGACGGAACGAGGGAGATGGACGGAAGAGAGGAGGAGGGACGCCCTTTGGCAGGCAGCCTAGAGGGGAAAGAAAAGGATGCAGCTGTTCTAACTTCATCTTTGTAAATCAAAATCAGGACTTCCATGCGCATGACTTTACAGATGATTCGCTGGCAGATAGTGTCTGTTTTGCTTCATAAAAACAATAAATGTATCCTTCTTACATCAGCGCGCTCTTAAAGATGTTTGTATTCTACATGATGTATTGCCTTCTCACTGCTCCGACATGTTCCTTTCTCACTCTGTTACAGCTCCTTTCTGCAAGAACAATTTCTTCGCATCGTTTGACATGATTGCCCCACCGATTCGAGCTCCGATACAGTTGAGAATCGGGTCACTTCCACTGTATTTCTTGACGAGATAGAGTTGGTTATCTTCGAACAGTGCGAAGATCTTAATGCAGATGTCCGCACCAGTTACAGCAAGAACCTTTCCGTTCCACCCCCAACTCATGCATTTGATTTCAACACACTCCATGTGTAATTCTATGGTCTGAACGTGCTGTTTGACTCGGGTCTTCCAGGTTTCTATGATCGCTTCTTGCGAGCCAACTGCTATCATCTTTCCGTCCGGCCTGCAGCTGATGACCGAGATGGTGATGTCTGAGACGTTCTTGATCTCATTGATACATTGCTCTGTAGCAACATTCCAAATCCGAATCTCTTCTTTGGTGGCAGAAGCAAGTATCTTTCCATCCTGTGCCCAGCTCAAGAAATCAGCTTCACAATCACTTCTCAGCTCGTGGCTGCAGATGTTCAGCTCGACGTCCCAGATCTGGATCACAGTATCATCCAGCAAGGAAACAGCAAGCGATCTTCTGTCGGGGCTCCAGCAAACGCAGCAAACATTGCGAACAAGCATTTTGGAGGGACCCTTCTGAAGACCGGATCGCACGTCCCATGCTTGAATCATGCCTTCGCCAGATACTGAGATTATCTTGCTTTGATCGATGCCCCAACTTGTTGCTGCGTCAGAGTCCCAAAAAGAATTCCTGCACTTCAAGCAAATATCGTCTTCTGCAACATCCCAAAATTCAACATTGTCGTCATCTGACGCGATCGCAATTCTATCTCCACCTGGAGCCCAGCTCAAGCATGATGTGTTCGGCGTATTGTGGTACAATGTTTTCAACCATCCTGTTGTGTTCCAGATTCTGAGTGTTTGATCTACATGTGCGGAGGCGAACTCCTCCCCAGCAGTCTTCCAGCTCAAGCATAAGACTTTAGGAAGATCAGGCTCATGCAGACAGCAATGAATGTCAGCTGATCCAACCTCCCAAACCCGAAGAGCCTCGTCGTCCCAACCCGACGCGATGTAGTCTCCGTTGTGACACCAGCTCAAGCATGTTCCATTTCCTGCGGTCAGCTTTTGTGATCTGTCTCCATTGACGTGATTCCACACACGAATGGTGTTGTCATAGGCGGTCAAGGCGAGGCTTTTTCCATCTGAACTCCAGCTTAGAACCATGACTTCATCTTCACTGGGAGTGAGTGTGTTTGCAACAGTAGAATTATCTGCATTCCATATCTTAATTATTCCTTGCTTGTCGCCAACAGCAAGCAGCAATCCTACAGGATTCCAGCTTAAGCACGTTATCATTCTTTTTCATCGTTATGTAACCTCCGAGTACAATCACCCGACTCCACATCCCACAAGCTGACGACTCCATCAGACGATCCAGCTGCTAGCATCTTCTTGGAGGGATCAAGTTTCATGCAAGATACAACCTGCAGTCTTGATCGAAAAGCATGTAAGCACACTTCTCTGTCAACCTCCCAAACTCGAACATCTCCTAGAGGTGAGCTCGAGGCCAGCATCTTCCCTCCTGGTCCCCAGCTCATGCTCGTCACCTCCCCAGCATGCTCCTCAAGCGAGCGGATGCATCTCTCCGACTCCACGTCCCACACCTCTATCAGCCCGTCCTCCCATCCCGTCGCCAGCGCCTTCCCGTCGGGCCTCCAGCACATGATGGAGACTTGAAGGTCGCGGGTTTGGAGGGAGTGGGAGCAGGAAGCTTGAGGGAGGTCCCAGATGTCGATGGAGGTACGAGGGGAAGGGCATGCAAGTCTCGTGCCATCAGGAGCTAAAACAGCCTCCGACTCATTGCATTCCAACTCTGGAAGAGTCTTTTCGTTGATAACATCCCAGATCCTTGTAATAGAATCAGAATCAGATATGATCCATCTTTCATCTCCTGAAATCTGAATGTACTTGATCGGATCTTCGTGTCCTTGCAATGTGTAAACACATTGGCCTGACTCCAGGTCCCAAACTTGTATCACGCCGTTCCGTGATCCTGATACAAGAGTCTTTCCTTCGTAACCATCAAAGCGTAAGAAAGTCACTCGCTCTGCAGTCTGCTGCAATGTCTTCAGGCAGATTCCAGACTCAACATCCCATATTCGGATAGTATGATCATTAGATCCCGAAGCTAACGTCTTACTCTCCGATCGAAAAGTTAAAAATGTGACATCTGCTGTATGACCTTTCAACATTCGAACACAGCGTTCTGTTTCAATGTCCAATAAACGAATGTGCCTCCCATTCCACACACTGGCAATCAGGATCATGTCTGAACACAGAAGAAACACTTCTGCCGCTTTTTTCACTTCACTATGTGCTTGTAGACTGGAGTTTGCATGTAAATCCCATACATCTACTATCGCACCTTCTTCCCACACTTGCGCGACTCTCCTGCCGTCTGGGCTCCATATCAACTGTTCTTTTTCCTCTATTTCCTTTCGCAAAGTGCATTCGACCTTGTTCGCTTCAAAGTTCCAGATTCGAAAATGATTTTCATCTGAGCTCAGAGAAATCATCTTCTCGTCAGAGCTCCATTCGATACCCGACACAGTTTCAGGAAGTCTCTCAAGCTTTTGTTCACAGTTTCCTGTCGTTGAGTCCCAAATCAGCATTTGTTTATCATCTGATGTTGAAACACATTTGTGCTCGTCTGGATTCCAAGTCACACCTCTTATGGCTGAATGGTGCCCCGGATGAGTCAGAAGACAAACATCTGTTTCTGTGCTCCAAATTTGAATCATGCGATTCGCTGTGGCAGCCGCAAGAAGTTTGCCATCACTTGCAAAGTTCAATGCCTGTACTTCAGTCAAACTACCTCTGTCATTTCCACTCAGCCATCCATCATCATTCAAACTCCAAATCCTGATAGGACTATCAGCTGAGCTCGAGGCCAGCATCTTCCCTCCTGGTCCCCAGCTCATGCTCGTCACCTCCCCAGCATGCTCCTCAAGCGAGCGGATGCATCTCTCCGACTCCACGTCCCACACCTCTATCAGCCCGTCCTCCCATCCCGTCGCCAGCGCCTTCCCGTCGGGCCTCCAGCACATGATGGAGACATGAAGGTCGCGGGTTTGGAGGGAGTGGGAGCAGGAAGCTTGAGGGAGGTCCCAGATGTCGATGGAGGTACGAGGGGAAGGGCATGCAAGTCTCGTGCCATCAGGAGAAATGGCTACAACGTCTACATCTGTGACTTCATGGATTGTAAGCATCACTCGTTCAGATTCGATCTCCCAAATCTCAATTCCTTTTGCCTCATTGTCTTCAGATAACAGTGTGATCAGAGTTGCTCCCTTGGGCCCAAAAAGAATCACAGACGATCCATCTTTGAATAGTTGTACTTGGCTGATGCAATGTCCGGTCTCTATGCTCCATTTCCTGATCTTCCCATCAGTTTCAGCAGTATGAAGTAACTCATCTTCTGAATCGTAATGTAAATATGGTAATTCATCGAAGGGAAACCTTTCTTTTAGCTGCCCTGACTCCGCATCCAAAACCAAAACAAATCCACTAGACACACCGACGATAATGAACTTACCGTCATCAGTGTAGAGGAGAGCCTCGATTTTTTTTTCAGTTGGAATCGGCTCTTGTATAATGTTGAGTAGCGCAGAAAGCAGATTCGAATCTTCTTCTCGCTGCCTTCCTTGTACTGCTCCTTCGTCCTTACTGTTCACACCGTCCTCCTCGTCGTCCTCCTCGTCGTCCTCCTCGTGGTCCTCCTCGTGGTCCTCCTCGTGGTCCTCCTCGTGGTCCTCCTCGTGGTCCTCCTCGTGGTCCTCCTCGTGGTCCTCCTCGTCGTCCTCCTCGTCGTCCTCCTCGTCCTCCTCGTCCACTTCTTGTGCTCTGTTGTGGATAAAGGAAAGCAGACTGGATAGGTTCCTCTGACTTTCTTGTACAGCTCCATCTTCTCGGTAGTCCTCCTCATGCAGTTCGTCCGATTCTTGTAGATCATCAAGCGTACGTGTATACAGGCATGCCTCAGTCTCTACGTCCCAAAGTTGGATGCTAGATAAGGATGCAGCAACAAAGGTCCTCCCATCAGGCCCATGCATCACTCTTTGAATGTCTCCGACCAGCTGAGGTTCGAGTTTGCGCCAAGTCTGTATCGGCTGATCGTCTTGTATTTCAAAGGTACATTTCCATATTTCACCACAGGAGGTTGCAACGCAGAGATTGCTTCCGTCCGGCGAAAAGCTTATCCCTTCGCTGTCTTCCGCACATATTATGCTAGTATCTCCTTCCCCATTAAATGGAAATTCGCCGAAGAACATTCCAGTCAGGTTGGCGTCTGTCAGATCTGTCTCCAAGAACCAGGCATGACACGCGTCTACCTGCGATAGATTGGCGCCTCTGAAGTTTGTTCGATGCATAACAATGTTTCGCAAGACAGCACCGCAGATCTGAACTCCAGACAAGTCCATCCCTGCGAACGACACGCCAGCAGCTGTCAGGAGGGTTGCTGCATTGGCTGCTGCAATGACCCGTGGACTTGAATCTGACTCAACTCCTCGAGATGCACGAATAATTTCAAAGAGTTTCTGTTTGAATTGTGACGAGGTCTGCACAGACAGAACAAGAAACTTGATTGTCTCAACATCATGGTTAAGAAGACGCAGGCCCAGTCCATGCAGCATGACTTCATCAACGCAATCTCTAGTTAGCGTCCTCTCAACAATTTCTTGTGCAAGGAAAAAGCTTCTAAAACTGTCGTGATCGAAGTGGATACTGATTGCTTCAGCATGATCTGAGTTTGTCGTTGTTTGATGTATCAAGTGCTGCGAGAGCAAGCAGAACCCCACGTTTTCCTTGACATCTGTACCAGCTGGCATCGAAAAGGGACTTTTCTGCAGAAACTGCTGTGAGGTCTCGAGCACAAGCCGGTTCTTGCCTGCACGGTGCATCTCAAAGGAGATGACTCGCACAGCTTCAAGGAATTTGTCCGGGTAATTCTCTTCTGTTATCCCAACTAGGTTGAAGCTGTCCTTTATCCCGGCCTTGCCTTGAAGTTTGAACCATTCCATTACGAAACATGTCTCAGCATACGTGGCATAAAGGTCGATTTTCGTCATGGGACAAGCGACCGAGAAGTCGTGTCCTCCATGACACAAGCGAGGCAGAGCTGAGATTACAAGCTTGAAAGCAAGTGGGGTTGTGACAAGTTTCTGCAAGTCTGGTCTTGCATCGAGAGCTGTTCGATAATCTTCTGCGGTCCAAGCACTCTCAACAGGAGGGATGCTCATCTGTAGAAAACATGGAACAAGATCCCTGGCCTGTTTGAAACTCAAAGGACATATCCAGTAAGCATCCAGTGTTTTGCTTGTTGCTCCATCTGGATAAAATAGAGAAAATGACTTTCTACCAGATCTCAGAAACTCGCTTCTGCAGGTAACAACAACCTTAATGTTTGAATTGCCCCTCATCTCAGCCACATACTTCTTCACCACGTTTTCTTTCATTCTGAGCTCATCATATCCATCTAATATCAGCACGAAAGAGTTTTGTTGCACAAATCTTCTCCATTCTTCATCGGGCAGCTGGTGCCCAAGTTGTTTCTGGACGAATTCTCTGATACCCATTTGATACACAAGTTGCACGAATATTGGAACAGCATGGCACTCCTTCCATTCCTGCCACAATTCAGCGCTCCACTTCTTTGTAATCGTAGACTTTCCACTTCCCGCGGCTCCTTGCAGGAGTAAAACTTTGCTTTCGCTTGAAAGGAACATTTTTAGGACTTGACGAGACGGGATACTGTTGCTCTTCACATCGTCGGGACCAGTGTCTGTACAGGATATTTCAAGGTAATCTTGCAAAGTCTCTTCGACGTTGTCATCCATGAAGGCAGTCTTGAGGTTAGATCGCAACGTCCTGACAAGCCTGCCTGCAATAGACAAGTGCTCATTTCGTTCTGGTTGTATCATTCCACTTTTAGGATCAACTTTTTCTGCAAACCTGTACCTAATACTGAAACACCATGCATTGAGAATCATGTTTGCCTTGAGAGGAGCAATCGGTGGACTTTGAGAGCTTATCAGATGAAGAGAGACTTGATCTGTTTGGAACTTTGAGTCTTTGGAGTTGACATAATCTTCTACGAAAAACTTGATAGGATCATCTTTGTCTTCCTCTTTCTTAGTGATTAAATTTCCATCTTTGTCACCATGTGCTCCTGTGTTCACGTGAATAGCTTGGTTGAGCTTGGCTGCCAACTCAAGTATTTTCATTACGTGCTCGTCGTGTACCTCTTTATCGCATTCCCAGAGGATTTGTCGAGGGTTCAGCTGAAGTGCAACGAAAGGACAACCTGGAAGCATGAAATGACCAGTCTCAGTTTTCATCAGACCCAGCTCATATGCATTCTTCGCCAGGTTGTAGACTTTTCCAGTTCTAAGGTTGTCGCTTCCAGCAAGGCGCGATTTCGCCTCTGCTTTCTGTCGCTTGGATCCATCACCAACTCTGTCGGTACATCCACGCTTCATTTTGCAGTGGCGTAGAAGTGAAGCGCAAGATGGTGCTAGGAGGGTAGTACCAGCCTGAGAACAAGAGCAGCGAGTGAGGGGGGTCATAAGTTGAATACCTTTAAACTAGTTCAGAGCTGTTTCTACAGAAAACTTTTGCTACATTTGTGAGCTCTGCCACTACTACGACTACTTACCATAAACAAGTGTGGAAGTGAAAACTGGTGAATGGGAGAAGAGACGAGAAGACAGGCAAGTCTCGTGATTGTGAGTGAAGAGAAAAACAAAGACAACAGAGAAAAAAATGCGCTGGAGAGGAAAGGCAAGGAGGGAGAAGATTCAACGAAGAGAGAAAAGGAAAGTGGAGGAGAGGAGGTGGGAGGAGGGGTGTGGAAATGAGAGGATTGGAAAGGAGAGGAGAGAGGTTACGAAAGGAAAAGAAGGGGTGGAGAGGAGATGAAAGCAAAGCAAAAGAGATGAGATGAGAGGGGAGGCGAGGCGAAGAGAAGAAAAGAGAAGCGGACAGGACAGGACAGGACAGGATAGAGGAGAGACAATGGAAGAGGAGAGGAGAGGGGAGCTCAGGAAAGAAGAGGACATGAGAAGAAAGCTAATGAGAGGAGAGGAGTGGAGAGAAAAGATGACAGGACAGGACAGGACAGGACAGGACAGGACAGGACAGGACAGGACAGGACAGGACAGGACAGGACAGGGGAGAAGAGGGGGGAGAGGAGAGGAGAGGAGAGGTGGACAGGACAGGAGAGGAGAGGAAGAGACACTCTCTGAGGAAGTGAGGGGAACTACAGGTGCAGTGTTTAATGGAGAGAGGAAACCGGGGGCGGGCCTACAAGAGGATCGTGGTCAAATTGACAGAGATAGTCCATTTATATTAGGAAGACAATCGAGAGATTGATAACCTAGGGTGTCACGAGTAGACTGTTTGATCTAGCTGGGAACCTCCGGGCTCTGATTCAATTTCAACAAGTGAAATGAAATCGAAATCTGTTGCAAGCTGGCCTCAGTAAAGTCATCTGCTCTGCTGTCTGCTGTAACATGATGCTATCTCAGTAGGCCCGCCTCAGAACAATCTGATGCGTCCTGAGACGGGCCCGTATCAAGCGGTAGGATGTTGTCCTTCTTCATATCCTCCGAAAGTACTATAAACAAGGAGGGCTCATGTCGGGGGATCAGCGGGTTATTACGGGGCCTCGCATGGTTTCTGATTTCGATGAAGCTGAGGCAGGCCCGCGTAGGTCCGGTCCCTCCAGGCTTTGGCTACGAGAGTCGATTTTGACTGAGAGGAGTGACGGGAGGGTTCACTTACACCCCTCCTCCTCGCACCCCCCTCCTCCTCGCACCCCCCTCCTCCTCGCACCCCCCTCCTCCTCGTACCCCCCCTCCTCCTCGCACACCCCTCCTCCTGGCACCCCCCTCCTCCTCGCACCCCCCCTCCTCCTGGTACCCCCCCCTCCTCCTCGCCCCCCCCTCCCGCACCCCCCCTCCTCCTCGCACCCCCCCTCCTCCTCGCACCCCCCCTCTTCTATGCTCTCCTCTCTGCAACTCAGATCGTCACCATGAGCGACAAGAAGGTCTGCAGAGAGACAAAGAGCTTGTCAGGGCTCAACGCAACAGACTTCTTCAAGCACTCTCACCTCGCGCTGCTCTTTGCTTGCATGAAGGTTTGATCGAATGATCTCATGTCAAGTTTGCGTCAGCCTGATGATGAGCCAGGGGCTGCATGGCGAAGTAGAGAGTATTCTCAACATGTTCAATAGCACAGACTTGGATGTGGAATGTCTGGTCAATCAGAGTCAAACCGACGGATGGACAGCTTTACATTACGCTGCTAGCACAGGTCAAACTCAGATTGTCAAGACGCTGCTGTCGCATCGAGCTCTTGTCAACGTCGCCACGCGCTTATCTCGCTCGACGGCTCTTCACCTCGCCGCTAAGAGGTGAGAGGCGGACGGAGGGTCAATGTGCTTGACAAGCTGAGAGGGGGCACGTCGACATCGTCCAGCTCCTGCTGCACAAATTCGCCAAGAATCGAAAAGACTCGCGAGGATGGACAGCACTGAAGTTTGCAGAGGTAGAGGATGAGCGAAGGGAGATGATACTACTGATGATGCCTCCTCCTCCCGCAGTCAGCAGGCCATCTCGAAGTAGTCCGACTGCTTGCGGTGAAAATGATGTCCATGCTCCTACAAGTGAACTGGATCGCAGAAAACCTTCTGGAGGAACGTGGTGGCCGCAGAGTGAGACTGACTTATCTCTTCCTCACTGTCAGCTGACCGTGCGACAGCCTTCAGATGGGCGAGGAGATCCTTCATTGCGAGCTCGTCAGCGAGAGGAAAAGCTTTCGACTCTCCAAGGCTTTGCAGGGATGCGACGCCTGCTCTTGCTCTTCTCCTCCCACGTTGGCTGACGTCGCCAGGAACGGAGCTCACTGGAGCCTTTCGAGCTTGCAAGACTTGACCCTCTCCTCTGCTCCCACTCTCGCCGCCCATAAACATTCTTCTCCAGCAGAGGAGCCAGCTGTTGGATTAGCCAGGCTGTGAGTCCAGCTTCTTGTCTTGTTCCCGACTTCTCACGTCTGCACAGCAAAATATTCAAAGAGAGTTTGCCGAGGCTGATTGTTTAGAGACAGTCTTGTACGTTTTAATGCATGAGTTGCTCTGCGGGAGATGTAGCATCTGCTCTGTTTGCATTCCGAAATGCTTCAGAGAGAAATTCATTGTGTTTCAGCTTGTGCTTCATGCGTGAAGATATACCTCTAGTGTGTGCCTGTCACTATCAAGCACAGACACAAGATTGGAGGTAATATGAAGGAATAAGCCTGGACGAGATGCTTATGAACTCAGAGGGGCTTTAGACTGCGAGGATGGAACTGAAGTAGAATCTGCTCTTCCTTTCCTTCTGCAGTTCACAAGACTTGTTGGTTCTAGATCAAGTTAGTGATGTTTAACTTTACTCTACCTTACTTTGAGTTTGTGAGGCAATTATCTTCATCCTGATTTCTTGAATCGTTGAATAAACTTTATATTCACGCTCATGGACACCTTTATTGACTGAACAAGAAAGGCAAACCGGAGCAAACAAAGGAGGACGAGGATAGAGCCAACAAACCCGCCTCAATAAAATACTAGGAAACGAAGGAGGCAGCGAAAACCGCTACTCCAACCACGCAAGCGACGGCATGCACGACAAGCAGGGGAACAAGGATCAGAACAACGAGCAGTAGCGCAAGGCCCCTGCGAGGAGGACGGCAAGACCCATGCGAGAGCGATACTGCCGAAACAGACGAGCACGCAAACGATGAAAGCCAGGGTCCCCATACACCGCCTCCTGAGCGCATCCATCCCACTCCGCTGTCAGCGTAGCTCCATGGTGATCCGCCAGGTACCAGAGAAACCGCAAAGCGTCAGCATGAAGAAGACCATCCGTACCTGCAGTGAAGGGAAGAAAGGCCTTCGGCGGGTGATGGGTGCCATAACTTGCGCGATGATCCGAAATCTTCTGTTGGGCGAGGGACCGGTGACGTGGGTCCGGGTGGACACATAGTTTTGAAAGCCCAGTTTGACCTTTTTTTTCCCCAGCGTTTTCCGTTGCATGCAGAAGAGGTGAAGATGGAGCAAGAGGCGATGGAGCGGGAGAACGGGCGGCTGCGGTCGAAGGTCATCGAGCTGGAGGGGGAGCTGGAGCTTATGAGAGAAATGTCTCGCTCTCGCTCCCTCCTCCCTAAAGACTCTTTGCCTATCGAGGGCAGTCACCTCGGCGGTATCATAATGACCAAGGAGAGCAAGATTGTTGTGCTCGACCAACGCAAGCCCAACAAGTATCGCCATGTCAAGTCGCGCTTGATCCCTCCGAGCTCCTTCGGCTCTCTGGACCGAGGAGTTTCTTCTGCTCCTCATCTCTTCGGGACCCTAGAGGAGAAGTTGGTCAGGGAGCCCAAGTTGTTTCAAACTGCCCTGGCCGAGCTCAGAGACAAGGCCATGGGTCTCAAGACCGAGAAGCGAACGCCTCGCACGCGACTGCAGGTCATCCCAGGCCCTCACAGCTACGGCGTGAGCAAGGACGACTTGAATGTCAAGTATCCGTTTGCTCTCAAGAAGATCGTGAGGGAGGGGCTCAGGTACCTGAGGAATGAGTTCGGCCTGCGGTTTGAGAGCGTGTTTGACTGCTTCGCTTACTTCGATGCCTCGGGTGACTGGGACGTGAAAGTCAACGACCTTGTCGTGGGGATTCGCAGGTTGAAGATTGACCTCCGCCCGATCGATGCGGACGAGACGTTGAGGATGGTAGACAAACACAACGATGGGAAAGTTGACCCGAAAAGTTTCGTTCAGCTCCTTTCGTGGCATCCTCTCTTGGTAGCTCTCAAGTCATTGTGATCGCTTCTCATGCTCATCGTCCTCTCAGGATGACTGGAGACAATCGCTCGAGTCTTCGCGGATGAATCGAAAATCCATCGTAGAGAGAGCGTACGCAGCTTCAGGCAAGCTCCTTCAAGGTTTGTATGTTTGAATCCCCTCGACAGTCCTGACGCCTCGCCAGAGCGATCGGAGGAGAAACATCAGAGCTCTACTCTCACCAAGTTTCCTCCTCCCTCCATCCTCCACAAGCAGAGCAAGGGGTCTCAGGGCAGGCTCGAAGCTGACGAGCTTTCGAGCTCTGGTCCCGAGGACCAGGATAACAAGGAGACGCGAGGAGGAGGGGAGACGCGAGGCAAGGAAGGTAGAAGGCTGTAGCCTCTTGTCTTCTCTTAGTGACTTGTGCTGGTCTCCTGCAGTGGAGTCGAAGCAGGAGCAAGCAGCTGCGATCCTGATCCAGAAGCGAATCCGGGGGATGCAGACGAGAGCGAGTCTGAGCGAGATCCCGGAGGCAGGCAGCCTCAAGCTGCGATCTTCCTCCCTCCCCCGCGAGCGATCCCTCCTTCAGGAGCTCGTCCATCAAGACGCCCCGACGCTTGCAGGGCGCGTGCTGGACCCGCAGGAGCAAGAGATGCTGGGACAGATTCAGGAGAGCAGACGGCGAGCGAGCAAGGGGCAGCGCAACCTGAGCTCGAGCGACGGCAACGCTCCTGCAGTGCGAGGAAGGAGACTGGATGACAATGTGACGCTGCCGATGAACGACTTCTCCATCGCCAAGACGCAGTGGATCCTGACGCTCTTTGACTACCTTTGTGTGCGGGTTGACGGGCAGGGGAGGAGGACGACAAAGATCGGAGAGGGGCAGGTGTGCGAGGGAATCATCATCCCTGATACTGTCATCTACCGGCAGAACACGATAGACGCATGGTACTTCACAGACTCGACGGGCAGGCTGAACAAGAAGCAGCACACTAAAGAGTTCTCAACGTCCAACATCCTCTCAGTGTTCCTTGCTAAAGATCGTCTGCATACTGGCAGCTCCAAAGACACTGCCGGGTTCGAGGGCTCGTTGGCATCGGACGACAGCAAGGAGCCTGTTGCGTACTTGATCGAGCTGTCAGAGGAGCAGAAGACAGAAACTTACCGATGGATGGATCGATCCTCCCTCGAGCTCTTTCTTCGATCCCATCACAAACCTCGCTCGGGCATCCTTCAGAAATATGTCTCTCCTCCCTCTTCCTTCCTCTCCTCCCTGCCCCCCTTCCTGCTCTCCCTGCTCTCCCTCTCACCTCCATTCTCCCTCTCTCGTCCTCCCTTCTTTCTTGTCCTGCTCACCCTCTCCCACTGATCTTCCTTCTCCCTCCTCCTTTCTCTCCTCGTTCTCCTTCCTCTCATCACCTCCTCCCTACCTCTTCCACCTTCAACGTCCCCTGACCATTTCCCTCAGGTCCGACCCAACGGCTCGCACAACCACACCATCCGCGCCCTCTGGACCCCCCACCACCACAAGATGGAGAAGTGCGCCAACATCTACGAGTGGAGAAACCAGTCGGTTGCGCTCAGCACCAGGATGTCAACCTTCGAAGGCCCCGCGCACTTCACGGAGACTACACAGCTGAATCAGTTCCGGTCCAAGGAAGTTGCCAGGGCTGCGGGCAAGTTGATCAGCCACGTTAACAGCCTCCTGCCCAGCGGGTGTCACGTCTGGCAGGGAAGCTTCTACTTCAAAGTGAACCCCTGTTCCCAGCTTGTGTTCCTCTGGACTACCGAGCTGCAGGTCAGCTGGGGGCAGAGGGGAAGGGAGGGGGAGGATTGAGAAGAGGGAGGAAGGGAAGAAACAAAAGGGAAAATGAAGGAGATGGGATAGTGAGGAGGAGTGGAGGAGGGAGTAAGGCAAGGATGAAGGAAGGGATGCAGGGGAGAGGAGGGAGGAGGAGGGGAGGAGGGGAGGAGGGGAGGAGGGGGAGGAGGAGGAGGGAGCAAGGAAAGGATGCATGGAGGATGGAAGGGAGGGGAGGGAGGGAGAGGAAGAGGAATGAGTATTTCATTAGGTTCGGAACTCGTTCGAGGTCAATCCTGGTTTCGTATCTCGTCCTTACAACCACATGGACGAGCGACCGGCCGTATGCTACGAGTCTGAGATGGACAGGAGGAGGAGAATCGCTACTGCTCTCGAGTTTCTCGACCAGAAGTCGTTCGAGGCCTTGACGAAACATGACAGAAAGGCTCTGAAGCATCTCTATCAGGAGAAGCTGACCTTTGAGAAGCTTGCGAACCTCCTCCCTGCCTCTCCCCGAGCCTCTCGAGGTCTCCTCTCCTCCTCCCTCTGAAGTTCTCCCGCCATCCTCCGTGTCTTTTAACTCTCCTCCTCTTTTCTCTTTCATTCCATCCCTCTCTACGTCCTTCCTCTCTCCTTCTCCTCTCCTCTCTCTCCTCGCATCAGTTTTCTCACCTTCTTTCAGAACAATCGATCGACTTTGGCGACGACTCTCAGCCAAGTTCCGTCGCAACCTCAAGTGACGATGAAGACGGGAATGTGAAGCAGCCAAATATAGGCAAGAAACTACTCCCTGCCTGCCTGCCTGCCTGCCTGCCTGCCTGCCTGCCTGCCTGCCTGCCTGCCTGCCTGCCTGCCTGCCTGCCTGCCTGCCTGCCTGCCTGCCTGCCTGCCTCCTTCCCTCCTCCATATCCTGCTGCAGCTCCCCCCCCCTTCCTTCAGTTGCTGCCGCGTGTCCTTCTCCTTCTCTCTTCTCGCGCGTCTTTATCGCTCTGACTTGTCGGCAGAGCCTTCCAACCTCCCCAAGCTCAAGCGCAGGCACCTCCGCAAGTTCTTCGGGTCTCTCGAGGGAGGTCAGGAGGGGTCAGGCTGGACGGCCAGGCAGGAGCTCTCGCCCACCAGCCCTCATTCCGCCAAGGGGTCAGCACGACCCCAGCAGGAGTCCGCAGCTCCCACTTTCGATCACTTGTCAAGCTCCTTGCACCCTGCCAAGAGCCAAGCGAAGCAGCCGCTGTCACTTGAATCACTCGCAGCTCGGTGATCAAGACTGCCTGCGCTCCCTCCTCTGCTCTGCTCTGCTCTGCTCTGCTCTGCTCTGCTCTGCTCTGCTCTGCTCTGCTCTGCTCTGCTCTGCTCTGCTCTGCTCTGCTCTGCGCTCACTCTCTCTTCTTCTCTCTTCTTCTCTCTCCAGCAACTTCACTACCACTCAACACTCTGAGCAGGACGGCTAAGTGGAAGCCTAGCTCGGGGGTCATAAATCGCTCGTCCGGTCTCAGCACTCCTCGTCTCGCCGATCACTCGGACAAGAGAGGAGAGGAACGAGTTGATCTGTCTCCTCTCTTCCTCTGCCCGCTACCCAGTGCCGTCTGCTTGAAAAAAGCTCAGGTACAAATACTGCTGCTGCTGCTGCTGCTGCTGCTGCTGCTGCTGCTGCTGTCTCCTCCTCCTCCTGCTCCTCTTCTTGCTCTTAACTCCTGCTCCTGCTCCTGCCCCTGCCCCTGCCCCTGCCCCTGCCTCTGCTCCTGCTCCAGCTCCGACTCCTGCCTCTTCTTGCTCTTAACTCCTGCCGCCTCTGATCCTGCCTCTGCACCTGCTCTTGCCTTCGCTCCTCCCTGCATCGGGTTGACTTTGCTGTCTCAGCCTCTCCCTGCTCGCACACTGAGCGTGACCTACCGTCAATGTCTCGCGATCCTCGGACCCCATGCTGCTCCCGTCCTCGAGTTCATCCTCTCCGCTGGAGCCGACAAGCGTCTACCTCCTGAGGGCTTCCTCCCCTCGCGCGAGTACATACGCTACGTCCTGGGTGACAACCAGGACAAGGAGGAGGAGGAGAAGGAGGAGGACGTGAAGCTCAAGTGGAAGACCTCGCAAGACGATCTGATCATGCGGACGCTCCTGCAGGCTCAGCAGGTCAACAAGTTAAAGGATGGGAGGGAGGAGGGGGAGAGAGAAGGGAGGGGTGAGCGATGGGGGAGGGAGGGGGGACGGGAGAGGGAGAGAGGGGGGAGGAGGGTTGAGTTGAATGACTTGGATGATTGAGCAGAAGAATCTGAAAGGAATATCAATCTCGGAGATGATCAAAGATGAAGAGTTTCTCAACAGAAATGTAAGTGGAGAAGGAGGAGCGAACTAGAGGGAGAATCGGAAGATGGGGAGGAGGGGAGGGTGTTAGCAGTCAGAAAAGAGGAGGAGGAGGAGGAGGAAGACGAGGAAGGAGGAGGAGGAGGAGGAAGGAGGAGCAGGAGCAGGAGCAGGAGCAGGAGCAGGAGCAGGAGCAGGAGGAAGTCGGAGCAGGAGCAGAAGCAGAAGCAGAAGCAGGAGGAGGAGGAGGAGGAGGAGGAGGTTGACTCTACTTGGTACAGGTGGAAGTTTGTGAGTCCTGCGCGCTGCTTGTCAATCGCTGGGCGCAGGTGAGACAAAATGATGAAAAACAGGAGGGGGAGGACGAGAGGAGGGGAAGAAAAGGGAGAAGGAGGATGGAAGGGGAGGGGAGGCGAGAGGAGCAAGAACAGGAGCAGGAGCAGGAGCAGGAGCAGGAGCAGGAGCAGGAGCAGGAGCAGGAGCAGGAGCAGGAGCAGGAGCAGGAGCAGGAGCAGGAGCAGGAGCAGGAGCAGGAGCAGGAGCAGGAGCAGGAGCAGGAGCAGGAGCAGGAGCAGGAGCAGGAGCAGGAGCAGGAGCAGGAGCAGGAGCAGGAGCAGGAGCAGATTCAGGAGCAGGAGCAGGAGCAGGAGCAGGAGCAGGAGCAGGAGCAGGAGCAGGAGCAGGAGCAGGAGCAGGAGCAGGAGCAGGAGCAGGAGCAGGAGCAGGAGCAGGAGCAGGAGC